GGAGCATTCAGCCAGCCAGCTGAGCGTCGGAAGCCAGCCGGCAACTCTGGGTGGAGTCCAGCCCTTCCCCGGCACCGCAGCAGATGCTGAGGCCGGCGCGGGGCACCCCGTCGGCCTGCTGACTGGCGGCAATCAGCTGGCAGCACCATGGGGGGACTGCACCCCCCCAACAGTGCAGCTATAGGAGGTGAGAAGGCACGCCCCACCAACCAACGGGGCGGCAAGGAATGGCCAGCAGCTAAGAGGCTGAACTTACCACAGGCAACGAGGCTGAGAGAAGCAGATGCAAAGCAGCGACAGAGGGTCGGACGCTGGACTAAGGGGGGCGGGACTGCACGGGAAGAGGGTGTGGGTCACAAGGGTGGGGTTATAAAGGTATTCAAGCGGATGGTGGTTTGTGGGCGGAGGGTAGGGATGTGGGTGTGGGCTTGCTATAAAGAGCATTGGGAACAGGCCAGTCCCAGTGCTGACTTTGTTAGTTAGGCAGTGAATAAAACTTCCTAATGTGCACTAAGTTCCTGCGTTCCTGGCTTTCATTTTCCGGACGACTAAGGACTTGGATTGACAGTAAGTCAGCACTCCCCTTCCTTTCTGCTACCTTCTGCCCTTGCCTCACCCCTGGGGTATGGCGGAGGGAAAGCAGGACGCTCCTCAGGTGGAGGACGCTTTGCTGACTGGTGCTACAGCAGCTGTCCCGGCAGACCCAGTCCAGCCGGCTGCGGCAGAGGAGGAGCAGCCAGTGGTGAGGCCAAGACCATCCAGGGGCCTGGCCCTGTTGTGGTGGTCAAGGATGCTGATGTCGCCAAGCCGAGGGAAGAATGGTGGCAAAGCCCGGCGTTAACATTTCTGGAGACTGGCCTGCCCCGTGACCCACCGGGTAGGTCATCCCTATTGGGGTAGAGGGAGAGATGGTTAACAGGCGAGGATGAAGAGGAATGGAGCTACTCCACCGCTTCTGGCGAGTATACGTTGGATGTTCTCCGAGAACGGTTCAGTGAAGGCAGCTGCCAGGGCCGCTCTTCGCACCAACTTTCGGACGGCACTTCGGGATGGGCGGAAACATCGCAATTTTGGCCGAGCAGTCCTCGTCTTCGACTGCCCCGCCTAGGGGACGCCATGACAACGGGGTCTGCTATTTCTGGGCTAGATTCCACGGGGGCCGTAGGCTGGGCACAGCCTTCTGGCCGGAGGCCACGAGGTCAAGCTGCTGCAACAGGTTTAGCCACGCCAGTCGGGAGTGGCGGGGTGGTGCCACCTGCACAATGGGGGCCAGGTCAGCAGTGGGGCCCGCTGCCTCTTCCCATAACCTTTGACGGGGACCCGGACAGGTTGGCTATGTTCCTGAGCCACGTGGTTAGCCACCTTGATCGGTATGGCCATTTATATTCATCTCAATGGGCCATGGTGGTGGGGATTACAGCAGGCCTAAAAGGGGAGGCGACAGCATGGGCTGCTGACCTCTATAGCGATCATGCTAGGGCGCTTGGCAACGTGGGATTGTTCTTGGAGGCGCTTCACAGCCGATTTGAGGATGCCTCCCGGGTTCAGCGAGCGGAGTTGGAGCTCCTGTCCCTGAAGCAGGGGGCCTGGCCCGTAGCGGAATATATCCGTGACTTTCGACGGCTAGCCGGCCGGCTAAGCTCATCATGGCCTGAAAGATTACTGATCCACCATTTTCGGGCCGGGCTGGATCAGGAACTGCACCAGGCGTGTATTTATAGGGGCATCCCCAATCGTCTCCGGGAGTGGTTTCGGATAGCAGCAGATCTGGATACCAATCTCAGGGAGATCCAGAGGACCCGGGACACCGGTCGGGCCCGGCCACTTGTGGGAAAGCCGAGGAAGAGCGGACAGATCCAACCCCCCGGTACAGCCGGTTATCCCAAAGCGCCCGGTCCATCTAGTGGCACGTTGTTTCGTTGCTTCCGATGTAATCAGCCGGGACATCGGGTGGCCGACTGTCCAGCTCCAACTCCAAGAGTGTCCGGGGCCCCGAGAGGTCCAGCGCCGATGCCACGAAAGGGCCCTGATGCATCGAAGGCTGCGACACCTCCAAAAACCCCGTCAACACCGTGGGTGTCACCCAGGCAAGACGTTATGTCGACGGCGCAGTATCGTCCAGCCGACGGGGAGAGTGACGATGACCCCATCGACGATCCGATGGTAAGCGACCCTATAGCCCCTTTCATCCTACCTATAGTAGTGACGAATCCCCGTTCCGGGGTACGATGGGAATGTGGGGCACTGATAGACACAGGGTGTACCTGCTGCTTGATCAGTCGGGCACTAGCCCTGGAACATGGGATCCGGCTACATAGATTGGCCCAGCCTGTACGATTCAAGCAGGTAGATGGCTCGCTGTTGGGTGGAGCTCTGACGCCCCAATCACCGAGCCCGTGCGTTTGGAACTTGGAGCCTATTGGGAAATTATCCAGTTTGTAGTGGCCCCAGCCATGAGTGAGGCCGTGATCCTCGGCCTGGCATGGCTGGATAAATGGGAACCCACCATTTGGTAGGAGGATGGGTATCGTAGGGTACGCTTGGGTGTTGGGCCCCAGGCCCCCGGGCAGCTTCAGGTCCCAGGGACAGTCAAACCTGCCCCGGTGTGTGGAGTGAGTGGGGGAGGGGAGGACCTATTCCCCAAGGAGTATCAGGACTTAGCTGCAGTGTTTAGCGAAGACGAATGCAACCAACTACCCCCTCATCGACCGACGGACTGCGGCATTGAAATTGAACCCGGGGCCAAACTACCAAAACCTCGGATGTATGCCATGGCACCCAGGGAACTGGAGGAGCTGCGATGGTTCATTGATGTGAACCTGGCCAGAGGCTTCATCCAACCGGCTCGGTCTCAGGTTGCCGCTCCTGTCTTGTTCCGAGAAAAAAAAGACGGATCGCTACGTCTTTGAGTCGACTTCCGGGGTCTGAATGCTGTCTGTGTGGAACATCTGTACCCACTCCCACTTACGAAAGACCTATTAGCCCAATTAGGGAAAGGGAGGATATTTACTAAGTTAGACCTTCGAGAGGCATACTATCGAGTAATAAAATACTGACTTTGTTAGTTAGGCAGTGAATAAAACTTCCTAATGTGCACTAAGTTCCTGCGTTCCTGGCTTTCATTTTCCAGACGACTGAGGACTTGGATTGACAAATTGTACTTTGTTATTTTGTACTCATGGGAGAGGAATTCAGTTTTTGGCTTTAACTATGTAGTGGCAATACCTCGTTTCTTGAATAAAAGATTCTTTAAAGTAAACAATACCTCAAAGTTCTTTGGAAGAGTTTCATCTGTCGGACCATGATAAACCATTCCTAGTATCATTGACTTCTCCAATGAATTTGCATGCATGACATGGCCAAAGTAAAGCAGATGTAGTCTTGTTATTTTGGCTTTTAATGAGTCATCTTCATGGAGAACCTTATTTTATATTTATTCAAAACCGGCAAACTCTTTTCTCATTGTAACTTCCTCAGGTTGTAATAACTTCATTAAAAATTGGATTATTAAATATTTTGTGGTATTGCTATAACAACTTGTTTTCTGAAATGTGCCTACTAAGCAACAAAATCTCAATTTTGAACTGAACTATTCTGGAATAAACAATCCATAAAATTATGAGTATTCTCTCATAATTCTTATGTTTCTCCGGGATGCAAAAAAATGTAGGAACTACCAAGCAAAAATGAAAGAAACATATTGGGGTAGGACTTTTATCATACAAGCTGAATTTTGCTTCTCTTCACTAAAAAATGTAAATAAGAAAGTGTTATAGGAATCAAAATTTTGCTTTTATTCACCACAGAATTTTGAGAATTGCTTGAATATGTAGACATATGCAGACACTTTGAATATCAGTTTAGTTTATTTAAAATTGGCAGTAAATGTTCAAATCACAAGAACATTTTAGTAAATTATACATCTTGTCTGAGCCAGTTCTCAATATGCAGAGCAGCAGCAAAATAAGCTAATGAAGCAATTGAGAACACAGAATCTTTGAATAATGCTATAGACATACAAAATGAGAAGATTTTCTTTATAAAATATACAAGTTTTATTAGAAACCTCTTGAATAATGCAGAACAATTTTTCATTTGCTTGTAAACATTAGGAAAAAAGTAAAAAAATAACCTGTAGCTAATCTTAAAATTTAGATGACACAAAAGGAATTACATGTATGTAAAGCAATGGGATCTCAGTAAATTAAGACAATTAGATATTGCTTCTGCGTGGATTTCTCATAACAGTGGAAATAAGTGTCCTTATTGCATGAATGTAGACTGTATTCATTAACCCTGTAATCTTGTAATAATCAGTTAATAATCAATTTTTAATAATCCATGAATTATATAGTCTTATATGAAGCTTTTCAACCATGATCTTTTGCATTTGTGGGATGACTACATAGTTATTTAAGAACTATACAGATAGCTGTATTTGCAAATAGCAAATGCAGTATATTCACAGTATAAAATTGCTTCAATTTATTTTTGTAAAATTTCAGTAGAAGCTGTAACCTAGGAAATCTCTAGTTAAAATGCTTCTAATATGTCAGAATATTTTCTGAATGAGTCTGTGTTTCAGGAAAATGGAATTCTAAGTCCTTATATGCTTTTTGTGTAAAAATGGGGAAAAAATGAACTTGTGATTTATAGCTTTGATGATTAGGCAGGATAGAAAAGAATTTTAGAAATGACAATCCATGTCAAGAGTTTCTACAGCAACATTAGTAGCATCTGCATGATATGCAATTAATGTAATATGATATGATATATGATATGATATATAATATAATATATAATATAAAAAGATAAATAAGAAATTAGAGGAAGAAAAAAGGGGAGAAAAAAATGTGAATGCACTGGAAAAAAGAAAAGGCTTTGACTTCTGACTGTTTTTAGCATAGTACAAGAATACGCCAGCTCAACTTTTTGCTTTTACACATTAGTATATAACTAGCCATTTTTGTAATCGACAAAACCAAAGTCAAAATTCGATATTTTTTTTCATCACAGGCACAAAATCCAGAAGTGATATCCAAGTGAAAAACATATTTAAATGTATTTTCTTCTTTGAATAAAATGTTCAATTTAACCATTCCTGCTGGATGCTAGATCCAGTTAACTCATTAAGTTTAAGTCACTCCTTCCAGTTTGTCTTCATGGAGTAAAATCTTTTTCTTCTCTAGAAAATTTATTGTAGTTATAAACCTCCCTTTTTATCAAGGATTTCTCTACCTTGTTAATATCCTAAAGAAAAAGTCCCAAACTTGTCTTTTTAAGAGATGTAGATTTTCTTGAAGCTCTTTTTTCAGTTGTGTTGAGAGATTTATGTTTAAACCATCATAATAAAAATTGGTGTCAAGTTTATATTTCAAAATTGTAGTTAACTTCTCTGTATTTTCCTACCCATTTTCATCTAAGTAGTTTGAGAGGGTTTTTTTTAATCATCCCTGGAGCACAGCTGATCAACAAAGTGGTAGATTTTATTTAGATAATTTTTAAACATATTTCTAATAATTTGCTCCTCCATCTTGATTCCCTCTTTGGTCAAAGAATAGCTTTTTTTTTTTTTTTTGTAAGTCACTTAGGAATTGCTAGCAGTTCAGGAATCATAAAAATCAGCAAGACTAAGCTACAAGTTACTACAATAATAAACTAAAACCACAGCTTTAAGTCTTTGTTTCTCCATCAGTTTTTTTTATTGCTCCACACTTCTTTATTTTGGCATGCCTTAGCAGCCTTCTGCTTTGTTGTTTAACACTAAAGAAATCCCCAAAATGGCATAGATCTTCAAAAAGGCATAGCAGGCTGTGACTAGACAGCCTGTTTTAACTTAACTTAGTAAAGATTAATAGTTCTTAAAGGTGATTAAGAAATGAAGGGCACAATTTACTGTTTGAAAGATAAATTTCCAAAATGGTGGCTTGTTCAACAAGATTGCAGCCCCTCCCCCCAGCATTTGGCATGCAACAGCTTTGAAGCGCAGCTCCGAAGTTGCTTGCAGACATCAGCTGTTTCAGAGGCTCTTGAAGGGTAATTCTTAGACTTTCTCTGATCCTGGTGGGTCACAAAAACCAAAGGAATGCCAGTCCCTTCAGTTAGTATTTGAAGAGTTACAGCCCAAGGAAAAATCTTCAGGGAACCCTCCCTGAGCAAGTATTTAGTCAGCCATCTTCATTGGAACTGGACACAAAAATTTGTTGAATTCATTTATTTATTAAATTTATATGTCATTCATCTTACTGTCCAAGGCAACTCTGGACAGCTTACAAAAATAGGGATACAAGACAATTCTAAACATAAAACAAATTAAAAATACAAAAGATTTGATATAGACTAAAAGACTGGTTCAAAGCAGTAGTAGGTGGATGATGCAGTGTCACTGCACCATCCATCTTTGGCTTTCAGATCTCTTATCAAGGCTCCATGGCATCCAAAGTGTCTGGTTTTAAGATCCTTCCAGAGAGGTGGGGGCAGATCTCTCTTCCAGTGCAAGATATTCCAAGGGCAGGGACCATGGCAGAAAAGGCTCTTTTCCTAGACTCCACCAGCCAAAATTCTATGGCTAGGAGGGTCTGCAGTAGGCCATTTCTGCCAGATCAAATGGGCAGGCCAGTCCCATTGGGGCAAGGCAGTTTCTCAGATATCCTGGGGGCTTTAAAGAGGATAAGCAACACCTTGAACTGGACCCAGAGGCGGATTGGCAGCCAGTGCATCTTGCATAACATTGGTTTTATATGTGCCACCCCAGGGTCTCAGAATATTCCATGCTAATGCATTCTGGGCCAATTGTAGCTTCTGAATACTCTTCAAAGGGTAGCCCCATGTCAAGTGTGATGCAATAAGCCAAACAAAAGGTGACAGGGCATGAGTGACTGAAGGCAGGGCAGGGCCTCACAATACAGAAAAGATCAGTTTGCACATAATATGAAGCTACTTAAATGCTCTCCTAGTCATGCCTGCCACCTGCTCTTTAAGCAGTAGTTGAAGTCTAAGAAAACCCCCAAGCTATGCAATGGGTCTATCTGGAATAGTGCAACCACAACCAGAACCAAAGATAAAACTCTGGATTCCCAGGCTCTGCATATCCACAAGCACTCTTATCAGAGTTTAGCTGCAACCTATTGTCCCTTATCCAGCCGCCCACTTCACCCCCAGCCTCCAGGCACTATGAAAGGGCAGCACCAGGATTATTCATAAAAATAATAAAGGTGAAATATAATTACCATCATCTGTTGAAACAATACATAGTCTTACCAACTGCCTTGTGCAGTGACAGCTTGAAATTAAGACAATCTTAACTCTGTGTCCAGTTCTTGTATTTATGATCATTGCAGTGTCCTGTGATTGTCAAAAAGGATATTAGAAATAAATATAATTTAAAGCAACACATTTGTTTTGCAACAGCTATGTATGTTTAACTGTGTCTGGAGTCAACCCAAATTGTTCCATGATACTGGCAGTTCTTTCTTTAAGCCTAGAAAGAGTTGGTCTTTCAGAACCTTTGTAACTTTCTCTCCTGCCACAATATTCATTTTGAAATGAATCTGTTCCATTATTTCGACAATCATTTTTAGTGACCTCAGCACAGGTTCTACTACATTGTTCAACAGCACAGCATTTAAAATCAAGATCCATGTCATTAAGAGTATGTAGCAAATCTCCAACACTGGGTTGTGGGTTTACACAATTTAAATTCTTAAGCATATATTCTTCATATATTCTTAATTGATTCAGCAGATCAGTCATCTCATTCAGCACCGCAGAGACATGTTTACTGTGATGATACGAAGACTGAAGAGCACTGCAGTGTGGACATTTGAAACAACAAAATAAAACAATGTTTACTTTCAAAATGCTAAAATAGACTGTGAATTTAGAAATCACCATTGTATCAATAAACATTTCAGAATGGATTCTACTTTCCAGAAAATGAAAGATTTGAACAAAAGCCCTAGTGTTTATTGAGGCGTGGAAATCCTTAGTGTTGTTCAATGGTTCCAATTTACCACATTTTCCACCTCTCACCTTGCAAACTACAGAGTTGCCAAAGATTAGGTCTAAGTTATTCAGGTTATAAAAAAGATGACAGTTATACATTTAATAAAACTCACTATGAAGGTTGGTCTTGGGGTGGGAGTGGGTGGGTTATCTTTATTTTTCAACATACCTTATGGCTCCTTTGAGCTGGCCACATTCAAACATCACCCTTACTGCTTCTTTATAACCCTGATTGAAGCCTTGTTGAAGTGTTACCGCTTTCCCAGCTTCAACACCTTCCCTATAGCCCTCCTTTAAGTAAAAAAAGATAATGTACAATTTGTTAGCATTTGTCTGTATTATTTAAATATAGCACCAACTAAAATAAGTAAAACAAAGTTAAAAAAATATATCCTTCCAAATGATTACCAAAAAGAAGAGAACAAATGAAATTTAATTTCAGAGCCTGATTCAGAGCACTTTATTTTAAAGAAGACTCAGTCATATGGTAACATATAAGTATTCTTGCTAATTACAAAATCAGTTTTGTTCTATAAGATCATTACCAGAATACATTTCCAAAATTCAATTCTGAGATAAATTCTATCCACCTGGCACCTAATTTTTAAGAATCCCTTTAAAGAGAGAACAAGATTGATTCTCCTGATTCCTATCAAGAATTAGGCCAGCATTCCATCTGCATCCAAGTTAATACAAAAGAGACAGAGAAGAAGTAATAACATCGATCAATATTATACAGGTACCCCGGTTACTTTTACCTTGACTCGTTTCTCCATTGCACTCTTCCATTCTTTCTGGGCTATGTCCATCTCATCTGCATTTTCATCAAATACATCTTCATTGCTTTGTCTAACTGCAGACTGTAGCCATGACATTTTGTTTTTGCTGCTGACCCAAAAGAGGCTAAGAATCAAAGCAGCTGAAATCGAGCATGGTAGGAAAGCCGGGAGAACGGACTAAACCTGAAGAGAAACAAGAATGATTTGAGAAGCACTGGAGACATTAAACTCTGCAACGAAATGAGTCGAATCAGAAAGAAAACGGTATTAAGTTCTCTCCTTAACAACTAGTGAATGAAGAAGGCAAAACAAATCGGAGATGAGGAGTCTTTTCTACAAATAAAAAAACAAAAAAAACCCACTGCTTTTTTCTAAATGACGTAACGCATTTTCTCTCCTTCCCTTCAATCACGGACAAACCCGAAGCCAAACCCACCGCTACCTCTTAATCAACCTTTCTTTCTCGCCAGACAACAACCCAAAGTCCCTACTACTTCCGGGGTCGCAGAAGAAGCAGCGACACGCGCGAGGAAGACGTCGGTGGCAGATATGGAAGTTTGCGCCTGCGCATTGACTACATCACCTTGAATTCTAAAGTGGGGAATGTGGTGCTGTCGGATTGTTGCGAGTAGGGGAAGAGAAAATTGCCCACCCCTGAAATAACTACAGATAAAACTCTGAAGTTGTCTGTGTCAGGCTAGCAAATGTTCAGCTGCTGAAAGTTCATATCGCCAAAAGAGGAGGCCGGAACTGCCATCAGTAAGCGATGGCGAACTGTAAAGACTCCGTGGGACTGAGTTTGATTCCCAGCTGATCATGAGTATATCCTTGTGCCTTCTGGAAAACAGTAGAAAAATCCTGTGATATTTGCTTTCCTCCAGGATTTTCAAAAGTTAAAGTTGACAGTATTTATTCACCCTTGGCCGACTATCATGTAAAGATTTTCGCAGAATGAATGTGATATCATTCTCAATTGACAAATAATGTGTTGATGGCGAGCAAAAATGGGAATTGACCCAAATTATTGAGATGTCTTGTCTTTATCATTTCAGCCCCATTATTTATGCCTCCCCTCTGTATGCTCTACTGTGTGGGGGATAAATGCAGCCGATTTATTATCCTTTTCAGAAAAACATGCTTCAATTAAATTGTAATTCTCTAAAGAGGTGTCACTTGCTGTGTGTGTGTGTGTATTCCAAAATTGCCCAGAAGGATAGAGGGGAAGGACTTACTTACATTTTAAAAAGTTATCCTTTGTTTCTTTCTCATATGCATCTAAATGAGTATGAGAAAGAATGTAATGTTTGGGTAGAAAGGGTGTTGCTTAATAGAAATTCAATAACAAATCTCCATGGATGACTATCAAGTCACTCTTTTTAAACCCAAGCATTGCTGTAGGAAAAATAGGAAATAATGCTATCTTTTATTTCTTGAATTCCTGAATGAAACGTGACATAAAGATAAACTAGACCTACAAATATTTGAACAAAATAAATTTAGCAATCCAAAATCTCTCACAAAGAAGAATTTTAATTTCAAATTTCAAAGACTTTCAGTCCAACTATACAGATGTTTAATAAATCACTAAATTTAATGGACTTGGGTGAGTATATATCTATAAAAAGCAACTTTTAAATAAAAATATAGGAATGAGTTAGAATTCCACCAATAGGATTAGAATTCTTGTTTTCCAGCGAGTCCTGAACTTCAGACACAAATCAGAAGACTTTAGAAATAAAATAGTTGTCAAACCAAAACATAGTTTCTAAGGGTTTATATGCTACTGTATGTTCTAAATTATTTTTTAAAAAAATTGGTTTGCTAACTATAGCACAATAGGATAGATTCATATGTCCATTCCCAAATGGCATCTCTAGTTAAATTCAAGTTTTTAGATAATAAATGAGATGTATCCTTTGTCCAAAATCTAGCAATTTATGGCCATATAATGTTGACAAGGCTAAGATTTTCTTATTGATTTTTTTATATAATAACTGAATTTAAATACCATACTAAGTCATAAATCAGATTTTACTGTACTATCCACTGTGATTAGGTGCATACATTACTCTAAACCAAGGTCAGCTGGTATGGTTGATCTTGGAGTTTCCTGGATTTGTGGAACTTCCACAGGGCAACTGCTTTGTGCCCTGCTGTAGAAGCTTCCTAGCTGGTCAGGCCTTCATAGAATGGTGTGGCAGCTGATTCACACTGTGCCATTGGAACTTCCCCAGCGTTTAAGGGTATATAAATGATGCCCTCCAGGTATGTCAAACTCATGATGTTGCATGACATATTGCAACTTTTTCCTCATTGCCAGCAATGGGGTGGGCGCGGTTTCGGCGTGACACATCCGACCCATGAGCCAGCAGTTTGACATGCCTGCTAGACAATGTCTGAATGTGGAATGAGTTATAGCGCCATTACGGCAAGTTGTAAGTGGAGGTGGGCTGCCAAGTCATAAATCACACTAAGTCATAAATCAGATTTTACTGTACTATCTACTGCTCTCCAAACGGGTTTTGCCAATGAGGTGGCTCCTGACTCTGGCACTGGGTCCATGGGACATTGCACTCAATTGGCTTCTCATATCACATCTACCTCAGGCCTTGCGCCTATGGAACAGTGTTCCCAACCGGGTTCTCTCACCGATTCGGGGAATTCCACCCCACCAAGGAACTCTGGTTTGGTCTTACCAGAAAGGACCAGCCAAAGTCAAATGGACAATGGGTTGGGCCTACCGGAACAGGCCAGCAAACAAGATCCGGGTTCACCCGCATCAAACAGGTTTCAAAGTCCCAGTCTGCCGAGCCTGGCAGGCAAGCTTGCAGACTGGATGCTTGCAGCAGCTCCGAGACGATCAGAGCGGGCCAGAGGCCCTCTGAAGTTCCTACAAGACTATGTGAGGTTCCTGTCAGTAAGCGGACAGGCCTAATATTTCCCTAGAAATCAGAACACGCTCAAAAGTGTATTATAATGTTGTGTGTTGAGATTTCATTGAATAATAAGATGTGTTTTATAATGGGGTGAGTGTCAAGAGATCAATAATTGTGTATTATTGATTAAATAACACAGGAGACTAGCAGTGTTGTAATATTGTAAAGTATTAAGTATTGCTATGGAGAAGTGACATTGTAGTAGACAAAAATAGTATCTATTTTTTTTAATCAAGAGGGGAGGGGTGTTATGTCCAGGGCCTGTGATTAACAGAGCAAGTGCAGGAAGCTGCAGTGAGACCCGGGCAGACCACACCTGGGGCAGACAGGCTGTCTCCAGCCTATTGAGCATGCGCAGAGCGGGAAAATACATTGCATTTATTGGTTGACGCTGTTCCCTGCAGAAGGGACTTAAAACCATAATCGAACCCAAAATTTCTGTTGCAAAGCAAGACAGTTATTAAGTGAGTTTTGCCTATTTTGTTACTTTCCTTGCACAACTGTTAAGTGAATCATTGCAGTTATTAAGTTAGTGACACGGTTGTTAAATGAATCTGGCTTTCCCATTTACTTTACTTGTCAGAAGGTGCAAAAGGTGATCACATGACCAGGAAACTACAGGCATCATAAAAATGAGTTAGTTGCCAAGCGTCTGAATTTTGATCGTGTGACAATGGGGATGCTGCGACAGTCATAAATGTGAAAACTTGTCATAAAGCACATTCTAACTTAGAATGGTCACTAAATGAAATGTTGTAAATTGAGGTGTTGTCTCCAATTCAGGTCTGAGTCTGGTGCTGAAGCGAATGAAGAACATCAGACACGAGGTGCTGTTCCTTTTATTAAAGCGAAAACGGGCCCCAGCCAGCAAAATGCCAGGACCCAGAACAAAAGATTCAACAAACTTTTATACAATTTTTCAAGGCGGGATAAAGAAACATTGTGTAAAGGCATTCTGAAAGTTATCTAAAGGTTCCTCTATTGCAGACATGTCAAACACAAGGCCTGTGGGCCGGATCCGGCCTGATAGGTGATTCTGTCTGGTCCAGGGACCTGCTCCGGAAACAGTAAAGGACCACACCTTTGCCCAGTCCAGGCCGACCTGGTTGCATCCATCAAAGCCAGAATGCGCTCAATCTTAAATCCATGGGGCAGCCCTGCCCCATCCCCTGAGTGTGCCTGTAACTGGAATCCGGCATCCTTGCTAGCTGTCTTGTCCTGCAGGCTGACTTCACCCAAGACACCAGCACTCTCAGAGCAACAAAGCAAAAATTGCAACTGAAGCCCACAACAATATGAGGGGAGCATTTGTTTGTTTGTTTGTTTAGTCACCCATCTCACTGCAAGGCATATGGTCAGCATGTCTATATTCACATGGAACGCTTACATTAAAATAAAACCATAAACATACATACATATATACACACACACATACATTTGTAATCACAATAAGATATAGGTTATAACTAAAAAATGGAGAAGAAGGGAGGAAAATGTACCGGGGAGAATGGGAGCTATCCCCGAAAATAAAACCCAGTCTTATATTATTTTTTACCTCAAAAAGAGGCACTAGGTCTTATTTTGGGGGTATGCCTTACTTTAGGACTGCTGCAGCCAGGCCTCCCATGCCCTGACACCTGTCGTACCGCTGCTTGATTTTTTTCAGCGGCCCCTTGCCACCATTTGCGACCAGACGCCATGTGGCACATTGCACCGGTGCCGCTGGTTGCGGCAGGATGTTGCATGGTGCTGGTGCTGCCGGTCATGGCAGGATAACATGCAGCACTTCGGGCCATTTGCCTGAGGCTGCAGGGTGCTTTGGGTCATTGCCTCCACTTGTGGCAGGATGTCACATGACGCTTCAGGCCATTGTCGCTGGTTGCAGCAAGGTGTTGTGCAGCACCGGGCTGTTGCAGGAGGCTCCATGGTGCTTTGGGCCATTTCTGCAGCTTGTGGCAGGACACCACATGGCACTTCGGGCTATTGCCACCAATTGCAGCAAGATGCTGCGTGGTGCTTTGGGCCATTTGCAGAAGGCCAGATAGTGCTTCAGTGGCAATGGCCTGATGCAACTCACAGCATCCTGCCGTGACCATGGCACTGGTGTGAAGCTCCATGCGGCCTCCTGCTGCAAGGAGCGGCCATGGCCACAAGCACCATATGGCATCCTCCTACGACTGATGGCTGTAGCCTGAAGCACCATGCAGACTCCTGCCAAGAGGAGCAGCAATGGCACAAAAAGCGATGCAGCTAGACAAGTGTCAGGGCATAGGAGGCTTGCTTGCCGCAGTCCTACCGGTAAAGTAAGCAGGTGCAGGGTGTGTGTGGCAGCTCTACCTCCCTACCACTGCCATAGCTTGATTTTTAGGCATGCACCTCACCCCAAAACTAGGGCTTATTTTCGGGGTAAGCTGATATTAGGCCCACTCCCAAAAATCAAGCTAGGGCTTATTTTGGGGGTAGGTCTTACTTTGGGAAAACATGGCATTAATCAACCACTCCAGTTGATACTTACTCATTGGGGCCCCATACCAACTAGCAGAGCCAAGTCTTCAGGATTTTGTGGAAGATCAGGTGGGTGGGAGCCAACCTCATCTCAGGGAGCAAGATGTTCCAAAGGGCCAAGGTCATGGCAGAATAGACTCTTCTCCTGGACCCTTTCAGCTGGAATTCCTTGACTGATGGGATCCACAGCATGCTTCCTCTGCTGCATGGGTGGGGTGGACCTATCTAAAGGGGTGAGACAGTTCCTCAAGTAACCTGGAACAACTGAAATAAGGAAATAAAGAATAATGGGAAGAAAGAAAATCTCAGATATAAAGCAGGAGATTTGAAAGTATACCCAGGGTTAACCATAAAGGACTCAAATGCCTATACATTAATATTGCATCCAGTTTTGATTGCCACAATATAAAAAAGATGCTGAGACTCTGGGAAGAGTGTAGAGAAAAGCAACATACGAAGAGGGCTAGACATACGAAGAATGGTTACAGGAATTGGGTATATCTAGTCTAATGAACAGAAGGACTAGGGATGACATGATAGCAGTGTTTCAATATTTGAGGGGTTAAGGGAGCTTTTTAATAATATATTACAGGGTTCAGAGATCCCCCCGTCATGGGGTAGAGCTTTTATATCCTTGATTCCAAAAGAAGATCAAGATCTCACTTTACCAAAGAATTATAGACCTGTATCTCTTTTAAATGTAGATTAT